CCGCCCCTTTCCTCTGTATCTCCGTTCCTTTTCTCTCAGTTCAGGAATTTAGCACGACCTTGAGTCAGCAACAGTCTCTGTCAATTAGTGGAATTCCTCTGGAATTTATGCTTCCTCCCCCTATCAGTATCTGGCTTTATCTACAAGCAGGCCCACAGTTCTTTTGTAAAAACACCTCCCTCTCATTCCTTTCAGTAGGCAGTCATGATCCAAAGCTCTCTGGGCTTTTTTTTTAAAAGCCTGGAGAAATATGGCTGGGTTTAAAACAGTGTTTACCTTAAGCTCAACATTGTTCAGCTCCAATAGAGCAATCTGGTATTGCAACATCCTGCTGGCAATATCCAGTGTTGTCCTTTCTGTTCCAAGACAGCTGTGCCCATGTGGGGCACACAGGAGCTTTTGTGCTTCTCTGCAGCTGCCACCTCTCTCAGGTATCCATCTTCACTTCCATTGTCCAATTGTTTGGACAGGATACTTTCATGACCCAAATGCTGCACCAGTATCCCTGGTGCCAGGTGCATCCTTTCCTGCACAAATAACTCAAAGGGTTTGGTTTAAGTGTGCGAGGCCCAATGCAGGGCTTGGCATTAAGGTCCCTTTAGGGCTTCAAAGACCCCTTCAAAGACTCTCAGGAGTTTATACCAAGTATTTTTGGTGGAGGGTGGTGCAAGGGTTTTGCCAATACCCCATAACTGGCAATCCATAACCGATAGCATCTGGCTGTACCTAAGAAGGCTTGTATTCCTTGGCTCTGGAGTCTGGCAAGTGGCTTCTTTTCAGCTGCTTCCCAAGCTTCTTTTTTCCTGCGAGATCTCAAAACTAAAATATATTACTGCTTCTTTGTCTATTTGTGCCATTTTCTTTTACACTCTGTATCCAAATACCCCCAAGAAATTTAATAGACTTACACTAGCACTGAGGCACTTACTTTCAGTCTTGATTGCTGGTAGAATATCATCCACACATTGTAGTAAAGTTCTGTTCAGAATTTGTTTTTCCAGCTTTCCAATTTTTTTCTTCTTTTTTTCTTTCTTTTTCTTTTTTTCTTTCTTCTTTTTTTAACTGTGAGCACGGTCCACATCACCTGCACCTTCCACCTGGTGTTTGGACTTCCCCACTCAAAAGGAAACAATTTATAACTATCTGTGTCAAGAGGTATTGCAGAGAAAACCTCCTGAAGATCGAGCATCATAAACCATTTATATTCCCCTTCCAGTGCTGTCAAGAGTGTGTACAGACTAGCTACTGCTAGATAAATATCAGGTACTTTTTATTAATAGCCCTTAAACCTTGCACTAATCTATAACTAGTAATACCAGAATGTTATATTCTAATTTACACTCTTTCAATAACCCATATTCTAGCATTTTTTCAATATGTTTTTCCATCTCTTTGCTTGCCTCCCACATAAAAGGATATTTTTGCTTTACCAGTTTGGCTTCAGGTGTGAAAGTAATCCTTTCTGGTTTGGCCATCTTTGATCATTCAGGCATCTCAGCTGTATGTAACAATAGCCTTAATTTTCTACCTCCTCTGGGATTTCTTCCAGCTCTTTTTTTATTCCTGTAACATAAAAACTTTTGCCCCAACAGCTTTTGATTCTGATATTTGAATTTATATTTCTTCGTCACAGAAAGTTATTTAAGCATCCAATTTTCCCAATAAATCTCTTTCCAACAAGGGCATTGTTAATTCAGGCACATACACATTGGTGTGTCTCCCACTGTTTTCATAACTTAAATAGTAATGCTTGTAAAAAAAAAAAAAAAAGCCTGTTCTCTTCCCTCCCTTTTGCACCCACAATGTTTACAGGTTCCAAACGAAGTTTTTCTCTACACATACTCAATACCAAATAAGTTGCTCCTATACTGATTGAAATTAACCTTTTCATTAGCATAACTGGTGAGCATGATGTCCTCCATAGCTTCTTGACCAAAACATAAGGGCCCAGTATCTTCTTGGTGAGGTTTGTGAGATTAAACATTCCAAACATAGACTAGTGATATTTCTATACCTTATACTATGCAATTTTCCACTTGTAATCATAGCTAACCCTTTATTTTGATATAACCAATTATTTGATCAAAATATTCATAACAATATGAGAGTGTGTGTGTCTGAACTTGCAGGGGTCACAGATAAAATCCATATGGTTTGTGGAGCTAGAGGGGACGAATGGGAAATGGCTTCTGGAGAAGAGATACAGGCATTAGTGTCAGCCCATCACATACTGCATAGATCATTGGAGAAAGCTGTTGACAGGCACATTGTAGGGAACAGAGCTTTTGCAGTTTAGGAAAGTACTTATCCCATGTTTTGACTTCATCCCATGTCATAAACTTCAAGTCTATTGCTGTCAGAGCAGAGTCACTGGAATGGATCATGCAAATGTCCTGGTTTTTTACAAATCTCAAAATAGATGGATTTTTCCCCTTTTCACTCTTGTTCATATATTCATCAGCAGAATAGAATATTCTGAGTTGATGGGGACACACAAGGATCAAATCAAAATCCAGTTCCAAGATGTGTGCATTTTAGAGGCCTGGTCAGACAAGACAGGAGTTAAAGAACAGCTGTTTTAATAAAATACAATAGGAAGAGGAGTATAGACAACAAGTAAATCTAAGACCCCTGTTATAAATGAAATTTGACAGCTAGGTGTATTGAATTAACAGCAGTTTAATTGAAAATTAATACAATTTAGTGAATTGAATAGCAATTTGGTATAAAAGAATACAATTTAATAAAAGAATGTAATTTATGTATGTAATTTGCTAGTAATTAAATATGATTAAAACATAAGCAAAACTGACCGGGGTATGAAGAGGGCTTGTCACCCTACCTCACGTACAAAACAAAGCAATTCAAACTAAATTTATATACTATATGCTTACACATATTAATTTATGTTTCCTGTAAGTTTCCTACCACTTTCAATTCTTAAATTCTACATCCCTATACTTCATGGCACATGCTTCACTTGTTGCTAGGGGGTCTTCAGTCTTCTTTTGGTGGTCTTTGGGTGAAGGCTTACACTCATCCTTGTTGTCCTCTGGATAGCCTTACAGGTTGCATGTGTGTATTAAGCATTGTGTTATGCAAGTAAGCATTATATTCCACTAATTAGTCTTACATTTTATAATTTCAGGCCCTATGCTTGAATTCGTTCCAGCTTTGTCCATTTGATTTTCTCTTGAGACATTACTTATCTTAAAACTGCATCCTGTATCCTATTTTTAACATGTAACATCTGTAAAGGGGTCCATCTGCCTTATAACACTAATTCCCTTTCTTGCTTTATAATAATAACTTTCCAAACAGTTACAATTTAGTTAGCACGAATCATTTCCATTTATCACAACCCCCCTCAGATGCTGGGCACCCTGTGCTCAGGCAGCGTTGTTCAAGACCGGAGGGGAAACCCTGCTGGGTTTGGTAGGGAAGGTGATGAAGCTTTGCTGACACTTTGTGAGTGAAGTCTCTCACGTTGTGTTTTGTGTCTGTGAGCACTTCATCTTTGACAAAGTCGTGACAAGCGTGGAAAGACAAGGCAGAGCCACCACGCTTTGCGCGGAGCTGAGCTTCAGATGCTTCAGGGAAGGTCTGTACACCACAGAGAACAGCTGCGACCCTGGGAAGAATCATCACGAGCATTATCATCCCTTTGAAACTTAGCAGCTTGGGAGAGCTGGTTCAATGAATAAGTTTTTTAACTGGAAACGTGTGTCAGCCCCCCGCAGCTCAGATAAGGCGAGAGGAAAGAGGAGAGAGCACAGCTGGGGGAGGCATGTTTGGACACGTCATTAAGAGGCACCGACTGTGGTCAGGCCAAGTTTTCCTGTTCCGTCTTTCATCACCGTGTGCCAGCGGAGCCTGGGGGTGTGCTGCGGTGTGGGCGAGCGTGGAGCCCCGGCTGCAGGGACAGGGAGCAGGACAGCGCCAGGAGCGTCCACCGGGAAAGGAGAAGCCATGCCCAGGAGAGGTTTTAGAGGGTAAAAGAAATTGCTGACCCAAAAAAAAAGCAACCCACCTTCAGCTCTGTGTTGTTGCTGCTGCTTTAACGCCAGGGCATCCCTCGCTTTGCAGCCCCGGGGCTGGCGGGGGGCTCTTCGTGGGTGCAGGGTCTCGGCCTTGCTCGGGGAAGGGCGATGCTGGTGGCAGCGAGCCCGAGCGGGACCTTTGTCCCCAGTGTCACTGCACTGCAGCCTGAGCCTCTTGGGGAAGTTCCCACTGGTTTAGAAGCTCTCCCGGGAGCCATAAACCATCGAAGGACATGGTAAAAGCACAGGAAAGATGCTGGGTGTTGGGAAGGGCTGAGGCGGGAACTGGCTGGCAAGAGGAGCTGAAAATGCCTCTTCCTTGCTCGGCAGTTTCGAGGTCTTGAGACAGCTGTTACCACCCAAAATAAAGTGTCTCAGACCATTGTTCCTTTCAGTGGGGTGGGGAGGGAGGAGGAAGTTTTAATGCAAAGTTCAGTAAAGAAGTGCCTTGGTTGTGTGAAGCATTAGCAAGGGACAAAAAATGCGGATTGAAGAAGTTTTGACAAGTCTACGCTCACGTATTTTTAGACATTATCATTATTACTATTATTATCTTGCAATGAGAAGAGTTTTAAATAGTTTCTAATAAAAAGTTTTAGAGGAAGGAAAATTATTAAATGCCTGTGATGATGCAGTTTATTACACAGTTTTAGTGAGAGATTTTCGTATTAGGAGGTGTTCTTGTAAAATTGGTACATTTTAAAATCATCTCATTGCATTCTGTTCAGGTTGTGGATGATGGGACCATACAGTAGGAAATACATAAATAACACATTTTAAAATGTATTTTGTAATCAGTCAATACAACTTCAAGGTTTAATGCAGGTTTACGTAGCAGCTGTGTATTAATAAAAAATAAAATAAAGCCTAGGAGACAGGCTAGGTTACGTTGGCTGTCATCCCTCTGCCTTTTCTGCCCTAATTCCTCTAAACATTTTGGGGTACAATCCACCTTTCAAATTATTTGTCACACTTTACAGAATTTCTCTGCAGCTCTCAAATTCTGAAAGGATTACAAGTTCACCACTATGAGATTGATGAACCAAATTCAGATAGAAAAATAATAATTTTTTTTCATTATATCTTTAATTATTTGCTAACTACGAATATTTGTATCAACAGCTGTTATGTGATTAATTTTTTTTTTAGTTAGGCTCTGTGTGCATACATGTGCCATGCGTAACAATGCTGAACAGGAAGGATGGTGATAACTAGAAAAATTTTAAAAAATAGTTGAATTGATTTCATGGATTTGGGTAATGCATCTGTAAACTCACGATTTACTTGAAGTATTCTCTTACCTGACTTGGGGAGAAAAATGAACGCTGCCTTTCTGTATATATTCTATAGTGTGTGAATGTTTTATCACAGTTTTAAAATTTCTCATTTGTCCATCTGGTAGTGTTTAAATTTTCATTAATCTACTATTTAAAAATAGCAAGTTACAGCTGTAGCAAATATTAATAAGAATACAGGCTTTTGGTCATATTGCATTAAGTTGATTACACTGTAAATTTCACTCGGCTAAGCACATCCCTAAGGTGCCTATATCTTGAAGATCAATGTATTTCATGATTGTTCTAAAGAAATAGATTTATGTCCCTGAAAATATGCACAGGACACCCATTGCAATGGCTTGTCCAGAGTGCAATATTTTAAGGTCAAAACACAGGCAAGAGGGTGCCTAAGACCTGTTCAAGTAAGACTTGGAAGTTTTAATTTGTGTGTTATAATCAGATGGGAATATCTACAGATACCTTTGAACCAATCAGATCTCTGTAATCTGTTGTGACATTGCTTTCCAAAACCTTAAAGGTACCTTCTGTAAAAATTAGGTGAACTGACTTGGCTTGAATATTGGGAGTTTAATGAATTTTCTTTGGTGAACTTCAACCAGTCACATATTTTATATATTTATTTTATATATATATTTATATATATAAATATGTATTTTATGAATTATATATAAATATGTAAATATGAATTTGTTGTGAACGTATTATTTTAATGCATTATTATATATATGTTCCCTAAAAATTGAGTTTTACAGAAATTTAATCTAATAGACAATTTCCAAATAGCATAGTATAAATGGAAAATGTGCACCTTTTTTAACACCTCAAATGAGAAAGCATAAAAATTGATTCTGTGCTTCAATTTTGTCTCTCTTAGTGTTTTTTTTTAACAACCTACTAAAGGAATTATGTATAATAAAATAGTTATTCCTGTACCAGAATTAAACTAGAATTAAATTAGGTGACATTAACATTTGTTATTACATTTACATAAATTCAATAGAAAGTCTGATAAATCTGCATGGTTTATATAAATGGAGTTTATACGGAGAAGATAAAGAGAGACACACCCTGTGGTTTATAAACTGGTTTGTGTGCATATGTATTTTAATGTTTAGGAGGCTGGGATGAGGAAGGAGACAGGGTGAGAAGACAAAGCCTTCTGACTGACTCAGATAAATCAGATGCTTTTTTACATAAGTGATAAGTCCTGCACATAGAGAATATGTGACAGTTACTTTTTCTGCAAGATTTCATTTGCCCCTGATCCAGACTGGGAGGGTTTTGTGACTTTTTTTGTCCGCTTATTTGTGGTTTTTGTTGTGCTTTTTGTTTGTTGGTTTGGTTTGGGTTTTTGTTTGTTTGTTTGTTTTTATTACTAATGAGTACTAATCTATAAAACAATTCAGAGGCTTATTGCTTCTCTCTTCAGAATCTGATCAATTGTCTACTAGATTTACTCTGAATTATTCTAATGGGGAAAAACATATATCTGAATTGTATTCTCATATAAATCACTATATAATGCAATTGTACTAAGGCCACAAAGTGCCTCTGGAGTCTTCATTATTTATGCATTATGGATAATTACTGAGTATAAAAGATATATTCAAGACTACCAGCAGTCTTTGTGTAGATCCTTAACTGACAATATTTAGAGGTCCTTTCTGAAGTCAGAAAATATCCATCCTGGGAGTTGCATCTTTTTCTATAGAGCATGTCTTTCTCCTTCTCTCATGTAGGATGGTGCTGACTGTGTTAATCCTTACAAAAGTACAAACAGCGAGAGAATCAATAAGGAAAAACACTCAGCTTCATTGTGTATCAGTGCATTTATTTTCATTCTTTTATTTTTTTTTGTATTAGTTTTTACAAAATTTACAACAGCTCCCTACATTGAAAAGGGCTACATAGGAAAACAACATTGTAAAAATGTCTGACACATGAAAAATTATAGAGAGCTTTTAGAAATACTCCCACTGATGGGGAAGAGGTCAAGCATAGGGAGGGGGGAGGCAGTGAAAGTTCTACATGCAGCTGTAGATGAGGGGAGGATTAGCAGTTCTGGGTTTGGTTCCTTTAGTTGCTTTACCCTGCCTGGTGCCTGCCTCTCCGTTTTCCTTGTGCTGCTGTCTTGTGCTTTGCCCTTCTCAGTTCTCCTCTGATTTCCTCCACCCTCCCCCTTTTTAATGTGCTGGAGTACTAGAGAAAACACAGTTGGAACCAGTGATTCCTTGAAGTTTCTCTTCTGTTTCAGCATGTATATATCTAAGTGGGCATTAAGAGAACACTTTGATCCCCGCAAGTATCCACGGGAGACGTACCTACTGTGCGAGCTGGAGTGGGGTAGGAGCAGCAACTTTTGGCAGCATTGGGTCAGAAATGACAATGATAACGATTACCATGCGGAACGGTACTTCCTGGAGAGAATCTTCGAGCCAAGAAACAACAATTTCTGTAACATCACCTGGTACCTGTCCTGGAGCCCCTGCCCAGAGTGCTGTCAGGTAATACAGGATTTCCTGGAGATGCATCGCAATGTGAACATAGACATCCGAGTAGCACGGCTCTACTACTCAGACACTGCAAGGAACCGCCAAGGCCTGAGGGAACTTCACAGCTCGCAGGGAATAACCATTGATGTCATGGAAGAAGAAGGCAAGGTTTCCCATGCTTTGTGGGATTGGGGAGGGGTGATCTGGTGAACTTTGTGCCTGGGTGAATTGGGCATGGGCTTGCCTCTGTGGTGCCCTGTGTCCCACTCAGCTTCTTTGGGGGCACAGCCATCACCATGCAGTGAATGCGAGTCACATCCAAAAAAACGATGTTTATATAGCACAGGAGAAGAGGGGCAGGACCCTTAGCAACCAGATTTGTATGAAAATTCCCCCTTGTTGAGATATACCATCCTTATGGAACTCCTGAGGGAATGGAAGATATTGTCCTCCTCCCTTGTCCTAAGGGAATAAATGCAGTTGCTGGGATAAGGCTGGCTGAAGAGCTCCTCTGCAGTTGAGGGAGGGAAAAAAATTGCTCAGAGTGAATGGCATTGGTTCCAAATATGGAGCGGACAGCATCCATCAGCTGATCTGTCCATGGCCAAGCTATCTCTGTGATATGGACACAAGGAAGAGCTTAAAAAGTCTTGTTCCTTGAGCTTCTTTGGTATCTGAATAAACTCAGGTTAATTATCTTCTCTTTGTCCAGACTATGAATACTGCTGGGAGACCTTTATAGCAGGCGATGTCAGTTATGATTTCACACCCGTGGATTATCAACTGGAGATATGGAGGAATCGTTTAAAGCTCAGAACTATCCTTACGGTCAGTGCAGTCTGAGAGACAGAGGGAATCACATGAAAGTATTTGCAGTCTAGAGCAACTGAGCTGTAAAGAGTGGGAAAGAAGCTCTTGTTCACGTGTAGCTCTAGTTGGACTTTAAAGAGTACTGCAGCAGGCTTTTGGAAAAAATAATGTGCTAAAATCATGGGAACTATCCTGTCCCACTGGAAGAGAAGAACTGTGGGTATTTTTCTATCACATTGATGCTGTCTTGGTTTTTGCCTTTTCTTCTTCTATATGTTCTCTGTATTCTTTGCACATATATTTGGGACTCTGTAGCCTATTATTGTATTCTAGATATTTTTCTCAGTACTTTTCCGTGCCATTTCCCTAGGCAGGAAGACAAAACAAATTCCAGAGCTCCAAGCCCCAGGGTTACAAGGCCCCTATCCTATCTTGGTTCTTCCTGGGAGCCACGGTTGAGAACAAGGTCTTTGAGACACATTTTCATAAAGAAATACAAATACAGCTAATACCAAGGGGGGGCTCCAGA